TTAATTATGAAGTAAAGTCAAAGGAGTGCATGTATACGACAATATGATGTAATTAATATGTAGTCTAATCGAGTGTACATAAGGCAGTTATGAAAAAATAAAGTAAAGTTTACCTTTCGCTCAGTACGAATTGAATATTAAGTAAACCTGTGAAACCACTTTGGTTAAAACAAGTGGTGAATTGCCTTGTTTCGCCGGAAGTAACCCCGTAGTCAGTGAGGACTCCGACAATTAGTTTCATCGCCTTTCATCAGTTTTATCATTTCGTCATTTAGGCTTAACTGATAATAGGAGAAACTGGTTGTTATGAATTATTTTATAGTAGGTAAAATATATCATTATGGTAGTATAAATCAATGGATGATCAAGTATCTGTAAGACATTATTGGCTGCAAAAGCAGCCCCAAATATCTTAAAGATATTTAATTTATTCACGTTGTTATTAATTATGGGTCTGTATTATTTCACCGATAATCATTTCATAGACAATTTAGTTACGAAAATTAATTTACAAGCAAGATTTATTTTCTCAATAATTAATTCACAGACAAGTTCATTTCATGGATAGTAGATTTTACTGATAGCTCATTTCACTAACAAATTAATTCTGGTCATTGTCATTGAAATAGAATAAACGGCATACCCTTAAGATTAGTGCAATTTATTAAAAAAAAAATTGTACAATGAACTGTTGTTAAATTATACTGTCTATGAAATTGACTTGTCTGTGAATTAATCATCTGTAAAATAAACTTTGTGAATTAATTGTTGGTAAATTGATCGGAACAGATTCATTATTTTTATATATTAAAAATCTAGAAAAATATAAACCCATTTATATTAATTATCGAATATTTATTTTTATTCACATTCACTTAATTAAAGTATTCATTTCATCTAAATTAATTCGAGAAGTTCTAATTCATTAAATTCGAGAATACATATTCTTGAGCAGCTCATTAACTTCGTTTTGTTTACACTAATTAAATAGATAAAGTATTTAGGTATCAGGATATTTGAATTTATTTTATTTAATTTTACTATATGAGTAGTAGAGAGATATTAATCCATTATTAATTTTATGTCAATTTAGTGTATATGTTATAAATTGAGATATTTGAATAGATTATTCAAGTTCGTGAATCTTTACTATCAAGTAACACTTCTCATTTACAGTATTTAAATTAATTTAGAAATGTGAAAACCATTGATTTATCAGCAGTATCCAAATTACTGTCACATAATTAAACCTTGCTTCTGTATACACAATCATTAAAACAGGCGGCGAAACTGCCCGCATGATCATTTTCTAGTTATGATATTTAATAATATTAAAGCCCAGAGCAATGTATTGGGTTAGAAACTATTAATTATAATTAAAATGATATAAAAAATAAATATTAAAATAACCGGGTTAGAAACTATCAATTATAATTAAAATAATATAAAAATAATTGTTATATTAAGTTTATTATTTAATAATGTTAACGCACCGAGTTAGAGACTAGTATAATTATATAAAATACTTCCTGATAAACTTTTTTTTTTATAGAAATAACTCTAATTATATAATGGAATATTTATGTATTGTAAACTTGGATTTTCTTTATTACAGTTAATTTTGTTGAAAAATTTAAAAATAATACTATCGTAAGTTGTCTTTATTAATCCTGAATTACACTCTTTAACATGAGATTGATAATAAAGACTCGCAAAAGTTGGTTGGTTACATGACCACTTTAGACACTGTCATGTAAAAAAACTTGACTCAGGAGGTTTACTAGGTTTATAACGAATAATACTATTATAATAAAAGAATTTGGGAATTAGATTTTGTAAAGAAATTCTTTTGCAGATATATAATTAAATATACAACCAATAACCCAATGAAAGATTTTCTTCCCTTTTATTTTTCAAATCATAATTATAAGCGCAAATTTTTAACTTTATTATTGCTCAATCAGAGACTTTATTACTACAAAGTGTTGAAGAAACCTATGGGAATAGGTTTGCTATCACCAAACTGGCTCTAGCCTATACTAACAGAAAATGTAGAGTAACTACTAAATTATCAGTTACATATGTATATAATGAAACAGGAATCCAACTATTCTTCCATATAAAGAGGAAAATACTAATTTACTACAATTACAACTCAATCTCTGCGTCTAAAGGCAGTTTATTATTTGCATAGCTGTAACAAGAATCGGAAAACTGCTGCTGATGTACTTGTAATATGAAGATACTGAATGCTAAAAAAGGTTTTTGCACTGCCTCTGCAGCTGTAGAGTCTACAAAAAACAGGTTTGGGTCAAAATCCCGACAAACAAAATTCCGACAGGTTATAATCCCGACAAAAAAATCCCGACAATCAAAAATCCCGACAATCAAAAAAAGTGTTCGTTGAGCAATTTTACTATATAAAATGACCTATACCCTAACTCTAACCTAGGCGCACACCCTAACCCTAACCTATGCACTTACCTAATCTTACCCTAACTTAAATAAACAATAATTTTTTGTTGTCGGGATTTTTACTGTCGGGATTTTTTGTCAGGATTATGACTGTCGGGATTCTGTTTGTCAGGATTTTGACTAGCACCCACAAAAAACATGGTCCTTGCACTGCATGCAGCTTCCGAAGCTAAAAAAGAAGCTATTTAGCCATATCACTGCTGCAGCTGCAAAGCCTATATAAAATAAGGTCCTTGCACTGCTTCTGCAGCCGTAGAGCCTAATATTTACTACTCCAGATCCTTGTACTACAACTGTAACTGTGGAGCCTGACTTACTTAAAAAATAGAAAAACCTGAGAGGGAGGGTTAGGGATAACAGAGCCAGCCTTTATACTAAGGCGAGCGAAAAATAATCTCCTAACATAAAAACAGTACAGCTTAAATACATTTAATTATCAAACACTGATTCATCGCCTCAACCTTATATCTAAGCCACTAATATATACAAAACTCAGTCTATCAATCGCTGAAAAAATCAGCATCTAACAGGATATATATAACAAACTATAAAGGAAAAACAAATTTAAACATGTGGCCAGTGTTTAAAATTTGATGTTCTCAGTGTTTTCAAAGAACATTTGACAATTTTTATGAACATGAATTACTAGAAAATGTTCTATATTTGAGAACATTTTACAAAATTTTTTAATATTAAAAAATTTTTGATTTTCTAATACTGAGAACATTAAAAAATTTTTGAGAACATTAAAATTTTAAAAAATGTTTTTTTGAGAACATAAAATCAATTTTGAATTTTAAACACTGCATGTAGCCAAATAAAGTCATTTGATCTCACAATAATGTACGCCCTGTCACTCATTGACAGTCTTCTATTATTATTGCTTAATCAGAAACTTTATTACTACAAAGTGTTAAAGAAACATATGGGAATAAGAAGAGGATCAATAATTAGCAAAAACTCATTTTCTTAGAAAATTGCAGCTTAGAGATACCAACTGACCTCAAATACAACATAACCGCCTTACTGTCCCATTCCCCTATAGCATGAATCTGTGCCTGCTTCTATTGCTGTAGTTGCATCACCAATTCTAATACTGTAGGCAGTAAACCTACCACATAGACTTGCATGTCTAGCAATTCTCTTAACAATGGCTCCAACAGCCCCCACTATTAATTGTTTTTCTTGCCTTGATAAAAAAAGAGGTTTATCCTCAAAGTTACTGGTCTTATTAACAAATACTTCTTTAACAGTTTTACTAGACAGTAACAACTTTTAGAAAACTCAATAGGAATAAACTTGTCATTTGCAAATTGATCTGTCTTGGAAGAACTAATGTGGATTCAGCATAATTTTTCTCCAAACTTAATATCTTTAAGCCTTAGGTTACATAATTCTCCAGGGTGATGCATGGTTCTCAACCCAATAGCTACTAGTGCAGCATCTCGAATCCAAAAAACTCTGCTAATAAAATGTAACTTTTTATTAACAAAATGTTTTAAAGCAGTAATTATCAAAGAGTCCCGGGGCTATTTAGGGTCTCTAGCCTGCCTGTATTCCTTCAACAGTGCTTTATAAACTCTTCTAACTCTATATTCTTTTGAAAAATTAGGAAGTTGTGCTTCTAAATATGCTCTTGAAACTGCTGCCAAAAAATTTGCATATCTTAAAAAAAACTGTGACAAATCAAGCCAAACAAGAAAAGATACAAGAGTATCAACCTCTAAAGGGAGAGCTTTTAAATCTATAATTTTACAGTAGCTACAAAAAATCTTCCTTGCCTTGTCCAAATATTGGTTCTAGTTTTCTGAGACTACTTTTCTACTTAAGGACTGAGCTTTACAAAGTAAACTACTAATCAATTTACTCTTACTGCCAGAAACTGCTAGGCAGGGTTTCTATCTCCCCTGAGACCCCCCTTTATAAATGCTATCTGAACTGGGGAAGAAGCAAAAAATCTGTTTGAATTTGTATAAGTGTTGGCCCCCATTCTGCAGAAACCCACTTGGGCACTATAATTGTTGCTACTGCTTTTTTCTAAATTATGTGTTGAAAAACATGATGAATTAATGCTAGTGGCAGGCATACATAATTGTTTTCTCCTGCCCAACTCTGTAAGAAACAATTTACATCTTCAGACCTGGGTAGTAATATCTGCTGTTGAACTGAACCAACTTTGAATTCTGGTGATTTGCTATACGATTTATAGAATAAGGACCCTATTTTCTTCCAAGAAATTGAAAACTAACTAGCTTAGTTTCCAATCGTTTGAGTCTACAAACCTTGTTAAGTTGTCTGCTGGATTGACTTCTGAAGGTACCCAAAAAAACTTTGCTTATCCAAATATCATGTTTGTCTAACAACTCCTATAACTTTCATAGCAACTCCTTTTGCCATAGAAACCTGTCTCCCTTTAACACTGTATCTATAGCACCCTGGTTGTCTATATGAAGATCTATCTATGAATGTTCTAATAGCTTTGCAAAGGAGCTTATTCCTAGTAGAACTGCTTCGGCTTCTAATTTGGTAATCTCTCTGTATAATCTTCTTAAACCCCAGCTTCCAAATGCCTGAAGTTCTATAAAAACTGCTGACTAGCCTATTGTTAATATATCAACAAAAATTTGCTTCACTTTGGATGGCTTCCATACTGGGCATCTATTTCTTATTTTTAAATTTTGAGCAACCCACATTGTATCTTCTCATGCTTGCTTAGTTAATCTTACATGTGCATCCCATTGCTAGTACTTTCTGTGGGCTGCATCTATAATGGAGTAAAACTCTAAACTACAAACTTTTGCATGGGCAAAAGCCCTGTTTGAGACTGAATCTTTCCTGCTATTGTAGCTAATTCACATGCTGAAATCTTCTCTTTGCTTATTAACTCTTGTATCAACTTTCCTGTCCCTATAATTTTGTTCTCGGGAACTACTACTTGTGCTTTTGCTGTATCGACTATCAAACCAAAAAACTTTAGCTGCTGTGATGGCTCCCATTGACCCTTTAATACCTCTCTTACTAATCTATATTTTTCCAAATCTACTTTTATTATTGTATCTCTTATAGTTATCAAGGTATCTAAGCTAGCCAAAAGTTGACTAAATAATTTCCACAATATAAACCTAGTGATCTCCAATGACCTACTATAGCTCTCATAATCTTTGAAAATATCCAAACAGCTTGTAACAGGCCAAAAGGAAGAACCCTATAATAATAGCAATTCCCCAATACTTGAAACCCAAGAAAATGCTGTGCATCTCCTTTTATTATCACATGGTGTAACTATCTTTTAAATCCCATGTGATCATATACCAATCTTTGCCAACTGTACGTAGCAGTCCCCCAAACCTTCTAGTCATACTCTTTTTTCTGGTAAGGTAGAGTTTAGATGCCTTAGATCTATAACTAACCTCCATCTTTTTGGACCTTTCTTGGAAACCAAGAAAACTGAACTTACTTCTAATAAAAAAGTTGGTCTTTCTAATTGGTTTTCTAAGAAAACTATAGCTGACATTTTTATTAACTGATTTAACTCCTTTTGAACCCATTCTATTTGCTCTGTTGAAAATGTATACTGCTGAGGAACAGGCTGATCTGCCAACACTAATACTCCTCTTGGAAATAAAGAGACCCCATTTGTTAACCAATCCATAACTACTGGAGTAGAACATATCTGTAATGCCAATAATTTAAAGCCTCTTTGTCTGCATCCTTTCAACAACTGATATTTGTCTTTCTGCCCTTATTAGTACCAATTTTAATTGGCTCACCACTTCGTTGCTGGTTCAAGTATAGTCAGTCTTCATTTTTGGATTTATTAGAGCCCTGGAAGCCTGAAGATAGACAATTGGAGGCGATGTGACCGATGCTTCCACAATAATAGCATGTGATTGTTCTAATGCGATCTGAGGAACTATCACCATTCCTTCCACAAAAGGAAGGTTTTCTGTCTCTTCTCTTACTGCTTTTATAAAACTCTCTTTTCTCTGAATCTGAAGAGGGTGGCAAATACCTTTTTCTCTTATGTTGGTAATATCTAGACTTACCATTATAACTATTATCAAAAAAGTGTAATGGAGGTCCCAATTGTCCTACAACAGCAATCTGATTCTTATATTTCTCCATCATCTTGTTATTATTACCAACTATCTGCAATGCTGTGCTCCATCCCCTATTATTAGCAAGTCTCAAAGTAATAGCTCTAGTCTCAATATTATCTCGAATACTTGAATTTCCTTCTTAAAAGGATCTGGCAAATTTTTAATCACCTTGTCCAAACGCCTGCCAATTTTTGACAAAAAGTCATACTTGTGCTGATCACATGCTTTGACAATCTGACCTTCAGCCATGCCTCATCTAACAACTCATCTTCTTGCATCTCCTTGTGCAAAACGACAAAATTTCTATTCATCTTTTTCTCTATAATTTCCAATGCTGATAAGAAAACATCAACTGGCACTGATTCAATCCTCTCTTTCCCCTGCAAGTGATTTGCTAATTCGTCTCTAATCTTACTATTTGTCTCTTGTGACTTTATGTCAATATCATCACCATCTAAATATATGAACTTACCATTCCTCCAATCTCTTTCATCGATCTCATCTGGCCCTTCATATCCTTCTCCATTTCCTATATCTGCATTTGATGCTTTCCCTCTTTTCACATCAAAATATGCATACAACCTTTTACCCAATTCCTCTTTATTTTCTCCAGATGACAGACTACATGATATGCAAAGATCCTTAAGCTCACTTATAGTCAACTTTGACCAATCAACAACTGACATAATGCGTTTCACTGAAAAATAGGTATATTTCTAAATTCATTATGGCTTTTAGGTGAATACAAGGTCGGAATATTAAACGACAAAGCTAGCCTTTATACTAAGGTAAGTGATAGCGACAAGAAAGATAAATCTCCTAACATAAAACAGTACAACTTAAATGTGTTTAATTATCAAACACTGATTCATCGCCTCAACCTTACATCTAAGCCATTAATACATACAAAACTCAGTCTATCAATTGCTAAAAAAATCAGCATCTAACAGGATATACATAACAAACAATAAAAAGCTATAAAGGAAAAACAAATTTAAACATGTGACTAAATAAAGTCATCTAATCTTGCAATAATGTACGCCCTGTTACTTCATTGACAGGCCTCTAGTTTACTATTGCTGTGTAGATCATGGTGAAAATAAGTACCAGTTGATATTTCCATTTTAAGTGGATCTTTTTTAAGAGAATCACATCTTATTGTGTTAGTAATTATGTGATAAGTTTTATTGTAATCATGCTCATTGCAAATTTTGGGAGTTATTTGGAATGTTTTGCTCGAAACAAGTTGACTCTTAATTCCTTCTAGATTTTTAAAATCTTCTATTAGATTATCAAATTTACTGGATATACCAACATTAATCCAATATATTTTTAAGGAATATCTAAATTTTTTATTCTTTATATGTCTTTTGAATCTGTGAATGAGAAGTTCTGCTGTGTAGTTAGAAGTGTATATAACTCTAAAAGAAGAGGTATTTTTTTTTCTTTTTTACTTATTATTGTTGCAAAAATCTGGCAATCTTTAAGATTTATATTTTTAGGTATATCAAAACTATGTAGATAATATCTTTGATTTGAAGCAAATGTAGAAAATATATTTTGATCTATTTTAGCATAAAGAAAATTTTTCCCCAAAATTTTAAGAATTTCTTTGCAACGTTCATCTCCCAGAATTTCAAATATTGAAACTTTATTATGACATTTTATAACTCCCCAATTAGCAGGATTCTTCAAAGATTTATTCCATGCTTCAGGATTTGAGTAAGCTTTATTAGTGTCTTCTCCGATATATGTATATGTTGTTTTAGATTCATTAATATTCGATTCATTTGCATTACTTTTTTTGTTTCATTTTGTATATTTATTTCTAAATTTTCTATAGCTACATTGGCACCAGTTCTGGCTACTAGTTCCTTTGTTTGCTCTTCTTTTTAATGGTAACTGTTTGACTTATATGAGTTTTTCCACCTAAAAATATTTCTTGTGCCCAAAAATCTCCATATTTTTTACAGATATCATGAATTTTATCAATTTGCTTGTTAGTATCAGAACATTTCAAAGCATCTTCAACATCTTGTTCAAAATTTAGTGATAGTATAACTTCTTTACAAGTTATTTTTACTTTTGCTTGCATATTCAACCTAATATCATTTGTATCAGATATTTGCCTGTGGTTTGTATTTTCTTTTGATTTTTTGCCTGATATTTTAATGCTAGCAGATAGTGAAAAAAATAATTTAGAAGAAACTCCTATATTAACATTTAAATTTCTCCCATGCATGATTTCAGTAGTAGTGTCCTAAGTGATTTTTTGATGTTTGTCAAAATTATCTATAAAAATTTCAATTGCCTCTTTAGGATTTCTGCATTTAAAACTTTTTGATTAGTTTTAACGATTTTACTATTCTCCATTTTAATTCATATTCAAGTCGATATTGTTCTATAATTTTTAATTCATTAATATGAAATTTATCAATATGAAATGTTTTAATTTTTAAAATGTCTCTATCATAAAGTATATTACTTAATTTATGTTCACTTTCTTGGTCTTTGCTGATATGGCTACCTGCTTTATCGACAAAAAACATATTATTATAAAGACATATACGCTCATTTGGATTTTGTTTATAAAGATCTAACAATTTAGATCGAATTTTTGAAAATGACAATTCAATATCTAGAATTACTTCTTGTTTATATGAATCTTTATCTATTTCTATTTTCACAACCTTTTTAGAACTTTTTCTGATATCTTGCAGAAAAGCAATCATATCAGGGTTTTCAGATAGTTTATCAGAATCTTTAGACGTGGACATTTTAATTTACATATATGCCAAAAAAATTTGCAAAAGACAATTCGCAATGCAGCTCTATAAAAACTGCACCTCAGATAGTTTTTCGCAAATATCTCATTATCTAATGAACTGAATTTAATTATTTTGATATCATTCAAACCATCTCGTCGAGACAAATTGAATAGTTTCAAAATCATTAAATCCTGGTCACTATATCATGATATATTAACATTTAAATAATATTTACCTTTAAACCGTTTTTACTTCAAATCTGCCCTGAAATGATGAATTTTGATTGGCAACTCATGTAGCACTTATAAATTAATTGATGATCTGGATAAGATCGGCATAATTACTATATTGGGACAATAGTAAATTTTTGGGATAAGTACAATATAACTTTTTATTATATGCTGAAATCTGAGCAGAGTCGAATGAAAAGTATTTTTTTTAAATTAACAACTAAAGTCAATTAATTAAAAGTTGTAGAGCTCACTGAGATGCATCTAATAGTGGTAAATCGTCCAAATTGGCCTGGTAAATACTGAGATATTGCTAAAAATGACTGATTGACTATATAAAATTCTATATAAACAAAGTATTACCAGGAACGTTAGTGTATGGTTTTACTGGCATCTAAAACGAAGGCAAAATCTTAAAGCTGATTGGTGCATATTT